TGTACGTCTATCTAACTATTTATCATCAATCAATTATCTTTATTCCCCTTCCGAGGTGGGTAAAATGAGGACCCAGATTGTTGGGGGCAATATGCTGACTCTCTGTAAACCGCTTAGAGAGGGCTGAAAGCCCTATGAAGCGGTATATAAGTCTACTGCTATTGCTATTGCTATTTATTAATTACGTACATTTATTAATTACGTACATTTATTAATTACGTACATCTATTAATTGCATACATTTATTACGTACATTTATTAATTACGTTCAAACATACGTGCAAATATCTTAAAAAGAGGACAGGTACTTCTGTAAAAGAGAATAAAAATAATGCACATTAGTGTATAAACAATAATGAAACAATATACGCAAGCAATGAATTTAATACTAGATTGATTACAAGCTCGTAACAGTTATTATAATTGAGATGTGATGGCATTTGTGTTATACACACAGTATAGAGCATTAAGTATACATCCAACATTGTTTTTCTTTTAAAAAATTTGGTTTGGTAAAAATTTTAAAAACATTTCCCCTTCATGGCCCCCCCTTTATGCTCCACCATGGGTTCCGGAAAACCTCTCCTCTTCTGGGGACAGAGGAGGATTCAGGCTTAGCTGAAGGATAAAGAGGACAATTCCTTAAATGTTGAAAATATGGAGTTTTATAAGGGAATAAAGTGAATAATGAAAGAAACTAAACGGACGTTAAAAGGCCAAACTCTGAAGCTGTGCTTGAGCTGTTTTAAAATTCCAGATCAAAACTCTGCAGGCTTCTAGTTCCTATCAACCCAACCTGCTTGACTGTGGATCATGGAAATTGTAGTCCTAAAGGCACCAAGGAGATGAAGCGTCTCCCAGTTGGAGACCAATCATTGGGAGGATCTTTCCCTCCCTCTCCCTTTCTCTCTTTCCTTTTTCCCCTTTCTCTCTTTTTTAATCTCTCTCTTTCTCTCTGTGTCTCTGTCTCTTTCCTTTTTTCTCTTTCTCCTTTTGTCATTTTTTTCTTTTCTTTCTCTCCTTTTCTCTCTCTTTGTCTCTTTCTCTTTATCTGTTTTTCCTCGTCTCTTTTTTCTTTTTCTTTGTCTCTCTCTCTATCTTTCTTTTTCTTTCTCTGTTTCTTTCCGATTTTTGTCTCTTTCTTTTCCCCCTCCCTTTCTTTCCTTCTCTTTTACTCTCTCTCCCTCTCCTACTCTCTCTCTCTCTGTTTTTCTCTTTTCACTCTTTCTCTTTGTCTCACTTTCTCTCTCTCTCTTTCATTTTCTCTCTCCTCCTCCCTCCTCCTCCTGCTCTCCCCTCCTCCTCCTCTTCTCTCCTCTCCCTCTCTTTCTCTTCCCTCTCCTCCTCCTTCTCTCTCCCTCTCCTCTGTCTCCCCATCCTCCTCCTCTCTCTCTGTCTCTTACTCTTCCCTCTCCTCCTCCTCTTTCCCTCTCTCCCTCTCCTACTCGCTCTCTCTTTTCTTCTCTTTGTCTGTTTTTCTCTTTTCACTCTTTTTCCCTTACTTACTCTCTTTTCTCTATCTCTCTCTCTTTTCTTTCTCTTTGTCTCTCTCTGTTTCTCTCTCTGTTTCTCTCTCTCTCTCCCTCCCTCTCTCTCCCTCCCTCCCTGCTACAGATTTGGGATTTGCAATGAAGGGTCCAGCATGTTCCTTCTCTTCAAAGCTGTTGGCTGATGAAGGAGGATAGGACTTGAACCAGAAGTCCTTTGCGAGGAACCTGTGGCCAGCAATCCAGAGATAGGGACATCCTAGCAATAGCAATAGCAATAGCAGTTAGACTTATATACCGCTTCCTAGGGTTTTCAGCCCTCTCTAAGCGGTTTACAGAGTCAGCATATCGCCCCCAACAATCCAATAGAAGGATGATAGATAGATAGATAGATAGATAGATAGATAGATAGATAGCAATAGCAATAGCAGTTAGACTTATATACCGCTTCATAGGGCTTTCAACCCTCTCTAAGCGGTTTACAGAGTCAGCATATCGCCCCCAACAACAATCCGGGTCCTCATTTTACCCACCTCGGAAGGATGGAAGGCTGAGTCAACCCTGAGCCGGTGAGATTTGAACCGCCGAGCTGCAGAACTAGCAGTCAGCTGAAGTGGCCTGCAGTACTGCACCCTAATCACTGTGCCACCTCGGCTCTATCCTGCCAGGCCTGTTAACCCAGACAGACAGCAGAGAGTTCAAAGGCCCTTCTGTTGGGAAGCCAACTTCAGCTCACGCACAGCCTCTTCCGAGAGTTGGCTCAACTCCCACCAGGAGAAAGTTGACCCAGCGATCCTGCAGAGTCCACCAGGTCCAAATGTAGAATTCGCTTCTCCTTTGCGGGAGGTGAATTGTGACCTCAGGGAGCGTCGGGGATTTTGTAGTAATACCAGTAGACGGAAAAGCCTACCAACTTAGCAAGGGGAAAGGGATACGTCTCCAGGACCTTGTGGAAGCCCATGCTCTCGTAGACCCGATGAGCTGCATGTTGGACCATGGAGGTCCCCAAGACGACTTCTTGGTAGCCGTGCTCCTCAGAAAACCGGATGACGGTCTTGACGAGGGCTTTGGAAAGCCCTTGTCTCCGATGCTCCTTCTTCACGGAAAGGCGTATCAATTCCTGGGCGTTGTTCCACCAGGATGGAGGGATGACGGCCACCATGCCTACCACTTCCTCTCCGGTGTCCACCACCCAGAAGCAGCAATCCTTTGGCTCCAGATAAGTCCTCCTGATGTCCATCATGTCCGTGGTGAGGGCGTGATGGAGATATTCATCCCACAGCCTCTTCATGTGAAGGGCGCCGGCCGTCAAGAGGAGGGAGACGACCGCCAGGGAGGTGATAACGGAAGCCCAGCAGAGGTAGGTCAGGAGGAAGACGGCCAGAAGCGCCAGGTGTAGCTGAGGACGGCTGAAGGATTTCCAGACCGCGCGAGGGATGTGTTCCCGGATCCCTTGAATGTAAAATGCCAGCACCATCTCATAGTCTCTCTCCTCGTACTTCCGGATGTGGTACTTGCCTGCCAGCGAGTCAGCCTTCTCCCGTCCTGGAAAACAGAAGATATGGAAGCAGAGGAAGAGGATGAGGGTCTGTTTGGTTCATGGTTTGAGGACCTCAAATGTCCCACGTAGAGAAGCGATGGAGGGAGAGGGACAGGGGGCCGCCTTCTGAACAGGTCAGCTCCAATTAAGAATAGAATAGAAACAGAATAGGAATAGGAATTTAGGAATGGAATAGAATAGAAATATAGACTAGAATAGAGTAGAAATTAGAATGGAATAGAAATATAGAATAGAATAGAACAGAAAAGAAAAGAAATTAGAATATTAGAATAGAAATTAGAATTTTAGAATATAAATTAGAATAGAATAGAAATATAGAATAGAATAGAAATATGAATACAATAGAATAATAGGAATAGAATAGAAATTAGAATAGAAATTAGAATAGAATAGAAATTAGAATATTAGAAATTAGAATATCAGAATAGAATAGAAATGTAGAATAGAACAGAAATATGAATAGAATAGAATAATAGGAATAGAATAGAAATTAGAATATTAGAATAGAATAGAAATTAGAATAGAAATTAGAATATTAGAATAGAAATTAGAATATTAGAATAGAAATTAGAATATAGACTAGAATAGAAATATGAATAGAATAGAAAGGAGGTCAAATGGAAACATCGAATAGAAAAATATAGATAGAAATATGCCCATCCCGCCTCCCTTACCTGCTGTCAGGTGTGCAGCTGTTGTCGTCTTCTGGCCACCTGTGCCGGCAGCCATGATCTTGAAAAGAAGGAGGTATATCTTATGCTGCGGAGCCTTTGCAAGAAGAGCAGCCAAGCGGGCAGCAACCGGATTAAAAGGAGGGAAGCCTTAAAAAAAAAGTAAAGAATTATTATTTCCGTCTTGCACGGCTGATGCACGAAGGTCACACAGTCAGCTGACAGATCAAAGTCCCCTTTAATGCTCCAAATGGCCTCTCAAACCCTCACACGCTTTTGGCAAGTCCCAGAGCAAAGTGCGCAGGCGTGCATACAAACACACACACACACACACACACAGGGCAGCCTCTTCTGCACCCAGTCTAACAAGGCAAAGGAACAGGGAAATGAGTCCATGAAACGAGGAAGAAACCATAAGTTCTGCAAACTCCAAATGTCTCTACCGGCACCCCAAACACTACCAATTCAGCGTTTGTTCCCGACAAAATGCCCCCTCCTGCCCCCACCCCAACAGCATCTCTGTAAGCCTCATTCTCCAGGTGTGCCTTGTGAAGAGGAGCGGGGAGCTCTCCTCCCGAGTTGTCGGGTCAGCCTGCGCTGTTCGCGCCTTCTCTCCGCTGTTCGCGCCTTCTCTCTGCTCTCCGGGCTCTTGGATCAGGAGGCGGTGGTCCTTGCTTATCGTCTGAGCTCTGTCGCTTCTTGCGTCCACTGCTTGCCCTCTCTTGATTGTCCTGCTAACAAGCCGTCCCAATCCTGAGGTCCCCTGGGCTGGCTCAGCCTGCCCCTCCCCACATTCCTCCGATGCCGCCCCCCTCGATCTCCCTCGGCTCCGGCTCCACCTCTATAACCTACATTTCAGCCAAGAGGCCGTTAAGCGAATCTTTGGGGACAGGATCCCGAGATGAAAAAAAAAGGAATTTGTAGATACACGGTGAATCATTTCGATTTGATTTAATCTAAAAAAGCGGATCGAAACCCCGCAGCTCCGATCCAGGTTTTGCTATACATTTAACTCCAGATTTAAAGGTAATAAACCTTTAAAACCAGGATTGAAGCTGCGAGATTTCGATCCGCTTTTTTAGATTAAATCAGATGGAAATGATTCAAAAGGCTCCTTGGCGCTGAAGAACAAAATTCAGATTAAGAGCCTTTCCCCCATTTTTTTAAGGCTGAGCCATAAGACAAATTCTAGCCTGGAATTTTATTTCTTCATTATTGCAAGGCAATAAAATGTAGTTTGGGATTCTGCTTTGTTTTTCAATGAGAAGTTTTGTGACTTGGAAAGTTTTAAGAGGCTAACAGAATTGGAAGGGACCTTGGAGGTCATCTAGTCCAACCCTCCCCCCACTTGGCGAGAGGTGCAGAGGGCCACGGCAGCCGTAAGGTACACCTGAAGTACACCTGGTGGCAGGTGACTCCAGGTGGGTACCTGGGGCACCTTTACATACCAGAAATTGGGCATGCTGCCATTTTTTTCTGCCTGCGTTGTATGTCGAGGACCTCCTGCAATCAGGATGGACTTTAAATTAAATCCATCAATCGGGTATATACAGGTAATCCTCGATTTATGACCACAATAGAATCCAAACTTTCTGTTGCTCAGCGAAATATTTTTGAGTTTGCATCCATTTCACGACTTTTCTTGCCGACGGTTGTTAACTGAATCACCGCAGTGGATCAGTTAGGGTTAGTTCTTGCTAGCTTGGTGTCGTCTGCAAATGTAATGAGTTTCCCCATCTATTCCCCCTAATTAAAACAATGGTTTAATTAATTACCAGTGGATGACTTATTAACTCTGGCTCAAGTATGCTCTGTTACACAGCTGCTAATATTAAAACACGAGTGGTTAAACATCCACCTGCTTCCCCTCTGCCCGACTTTTTTAATTTCCATTTTACAGGCGGTCCTCAACTTACGACGCTTCAGTTAGTGACCCAGGTTACAGTGGCACGGACAAAAGTAGCGTACGGTCCATTTGTCATAAGACTGTGCGGCATCCCCCCCGTGATCCAAAATTCAGAGGCATGGCCACCGCCTCGTATTTACGACGGTCGCGGGGTCCCTGTGGATCATGGGATCCGCTCTGGCGAGCTTCTCGCGAGGAAAGTCAACAGGGAAGCTGGATTCGCTTAACGACCGGGTGGCTAACTTAACGACTGCAGTGGTTCACTTACCAACCATGGCAAGCAAGGTCATCAAATGTGGGGGGGGAATGTCTCAGCGATGGAAATTTTGGGCTGAATTGTGGTCGTAAATCGAGGACCCCTGTGTGCCATTGTTTGTTTTTATTGGTTTATTATTATATTTGTATTTTTAATCTCCGCCCCCTCCCAATGTTATTGTTGTAAGCGGACCAGTGGCGAGATAGGGGGCAAATATATTTAACAAATAAATATAATTGCATTATAAAAAGGTGAAGCTAAAGGTTCCCCTTGCACATATGTGCTAGTCGTTCCCGACTCTAGGGGGCAGTGCTCATCTCCCTTTCAAAGCCGAAGAGCCAGCGCTGTCCGAAGATGTCTCCGTGGCCATGTGGCTGGCATGACTCAATGCCGAAGGCGCACGGAACGCTGTTCCCTTCCCACCAAAGGTGGCTCCTATTTTTCTACTTGCATTTTTACCTGCTTTCAAACTGCTAGGTTGGCAGAAGCTGGGACAAGTCACGGGAGCTCACTCTTGTTACGTGGCACTAGGGATTCGAACTGCCGAACTGCCAACCTTTCTCATCAACAAACTCGGCGTCTTAGCCCGAGCCACCGCATCCCTCTAATTGCACAATAGGAGAACAGAAACGACGTTCGGAAAACTCGAATGCTGTTGTTCTCCCCGCCCCAATTCCCCCCCCCCGGCAAATTCGAACTCAAGACTGTGTTGAGATAAACGAGGGCCAGGCTTAGAAAGATTTCAACTTTATTGAATAATCACATTTAATTTTCCCACGCTGCACAACGCCGGTGCACAACCCCGCTCCAGGAGAACAGGCTCAGGGCTCAGATGGCGAGACATTCAGAAATCAGTGTAGGCACAATGAGGACTGGAGCCATGGACCCAATCCATTCAAATCGGCAACACGACCATCAGAATTTCTTCAACTGAGCGAGGCTGTTTGTCCAAACCAAGTTTAAGTGGTTTTTTTTTTTAAATCCCGCCTTTATTATTTTTAGATATAAGTCAAGGGGGCGAAGGTAACTTCTGGTCCTTCCTCTTCCTCTTTGCCCTACAACTCTGTGAGGAGCAGGACTAGAACTCGCGGTCGCCTGGTGAGTTGCCCAAAGTCGCCCAGCTGGTTTTGGGACCTGAGGCAGGACTAGAACTCTCTGTCTCTTGACGACTGGCTCAGTCACTCAGACGGCTTTCGGGCTTAGAGTAAAACTAGAACTCCCAGTCTCCTGGTTACTGAGCAAAATTCACCGAGGCCACAACCCCCCTTTGAGGTGGGCTTAGGTTGAGAGTGAGTGACAGACCCAGCTTTGATGTATAAAGCAGAACTAGAACTCCCTGTCTCCTGGTTATTGACCCAAAGTCACCCAGCCTACAACGACCCTGCGAGGTGGACTAGGTGGAGAGCGAGTGACTGGCTTAGTCACCCAGCCAGCCAACTTTCATGCCAAAAGCAGGACTAGAACTCACCATCTCCTGATGATTAGCCCAAAGTCACCCAGTCGGTTTTCATGCTTAGGACAGAACTAGAACTCCCTGTCCCCTGGTTATTGACCCAGTCACCCAGCCTACGACAACCTTGTGAGGTGGACTAGGTTGCGAGCGATTGGCCCAGTCCCCAGCCAGCTCTCACGCCTAAAGCAGGACTAGAACTCACCATCTCCTGATGATTAGCCCAAAGTCACCCAGTCGGTTTTCATGCTTAGGACAGAACTAGAACTCCCTGTCCCCTGGTTATTGACCCAGTCACCCAGCCTACGACAACCTTGTGAGGTGGACTAGGTTGCGAGCGATTGGCCCAGTCCCCAGCCAGCTCTCACGCCTAAAGCAGGACTAGAACTCCCAGTCTCCTGGTTATTGACCCCAAATCACCCAGTCGACAACAACCCTGTGAGGTGGGCTAGGCTGAAGGCGAGCGACTGACGCAGTCACCCGCCCAGCTTCCATGCCTGTGGCAGGACTAGAACTCACCATCTCCTGATGATTAGCCCAAAGTCACCCAGTCGGTTTTCATGCTTAGGACAGAACTAGAACTCCCTGTCCCCTGGTTATTGACCCCAAATCACCCAGTCGACAACAACCCTGTGAGGTGGGCTAGGCTGAAGGCGAGCGACTGACGCAGTCACCCGCCCAGCTTCCATGCCTGTGGCAGGACTAGAACTCACCATCTCCTGATGATTAGCCCAAAGTCACCCAGTCGGTTTTCANTGGGTGTACCTAGGTACACCCAATATCGCTCGCGCGGCTGCATTCTGGACTAGTTGCAGTCTCCGAAATGGTATAGGGTTGGATAGAAGACCTCCAAAGTCCCTTCCAGCTCTATTCTGATTGATTGATTGAAGTAGGTCTTTGAGCATAGTTAGTTTTCCTTTAGATTCGCTGCTAAACCGTGATGGACCAAACTCTAAGCCAGTGTTTCTCAACCTTGGCACAGCTGGCTGGGGGATTCTGGGAGTTGAAGTCCACAGGACTTAAAGTCGCCAAGGTTGAGAAACACTGCTCTAAGCTATCCGAATTAAAGGTTGATGCTTTCTTCTGGAAAAAATGGCACAAGTCCTACATCAAAGCCTTACTTTATGGCACCCCTTGAGCACCTTCTACGCATGCTAACCACGATGATGACAAGGACGATAAAACACTTTTTACACTTTGCACCTTTTGAACATGCAATCCATAGTGAGCATGTTGCTATGGGAACACTGTGTCACCTCCTACAGCGGTAGGGATGTGATAACACAGCACAGAGTTAAGCTCTCAAAGAGCAAGCCAGCTAACCTGGCTTGGGTCCCAGGCCTGCGGCTGGTGAATTATTGTTTGTGTAGGATCCCTGTGTTGTTTGATTTGTGGTTGATTACAAGATGGTTTCAGTCTAGGATGCTCATTTGATGTTTTTATGGATTGCCCAGTCTTGTAGGCCATCCAAAGTCCATTGGAGTTGAGTGACTAATATATTCTAAACAAACAAAGCATTGAACCTGGTTGTTATCTTAAGAACTTCAAGGACTGTAGGACAGACTAGAGATTTGAAACACATCCTAAGAAAGGTTGTGGGAAATTGAGAGAACCACATGAAAGTATCCAGAAAGCTACAGGAGTCAACTTTCTTGAATCCATGAGTTTGTGTCTATGGAGATTCTCAGTCCTCCAGGTCATGGTTGTCCCAAAGTTACTTTTTCAAGAGGCAACTTGAAAAGGAGACCATCTTCTTCAGAACTTCTTCAAGGTGTATGGAGATTCTCAGTCCTCCAGGTCATGGTTGTCCCAAAAAGGGTGTTTTCCAGAGACAACTGGACTTTCTGGTTTTTCTTTGAAGATGTTTCACTTCACACCCAAGAAGCTTCTTTAGAACTTCTTATTCAAGGTGTATGGAGATTCTCAGTCTTCCAGGTCATGGTTGTCCCAAAAGGGTGTTTTCAAGAGGCAACTGGACTTTTCTGTTTTTTCTTTGAAGACGTTTCGCTTCTCACCCAAGAACCTTCTTCAGAACTTCTTCTTCAAGGTGTATGGAGATTCTCAGTCCTCCAGGTCATGGTTGTCCCAAAGGTGCTTTTTCAGAAGACAACTAGATTTCCTTGTTTTTTTCTTTTGAAGACATCTCGCTTCTCATCCAAGAAGTTTCTTCAGAACTTCTTCTTCAAGGTCTATGGAGATTCTCAGTCCTCCTTCTGGTTGTCCCAAAATTACCTTTTCAAGAGGTAACTGGACTTCCTTGTTTTTCTTTGAAGATGTTTCGCTTCTCAACCAAGAAGCTTCTTCAGCTCCGACTGGATGGTGGATGCATGGATCCAGTCGGAGCTGAAGAAGCTTCTTGGATGAGAAGTTGAAGCGCCTTCAAAGAAAATCCAGAAAAGTCCAGTTGCCTCTTGAAAAAAGCACCTTTGGGACAGGAGTTTGTGTTCTTCTGCTCTAGATACAGATAGTAACTTTTAAGGTTAGGTAGGGATAAATTAAGCAGGGACAAGTTTTTTCTATGTCTCTCTCTCTCTCTCTCTTTCTCTCTCAGGCTCCAATCACCTATGAGGCCCTCTTGCAAATTGATTATCTGGATATGGTCCTTAGCGAAAATCTTCGACTGCATCCAGGCACAGGACGACTTCTAAGAGTGTGTAAGAACACCATCGAATTAAATGGAATCACCATTCCCAAGGGGATGGGCATTATGATTCCACCTGCCATCTTGCACAACAATCCGGAATACTGGCCTGAACCTGAGAAATTTAGGCCTGAAAGGTATCCTTTGATTTCTGGGTTTTAAAAAAAACACACTTCCATTTCTCACAATCAATGACTTGATGGTAAAAACATCAACCTGGGTTGAATCTTCCAGACAGAGACCTTGTTAGGTGATCTTGGCAATGGCCAAAGCTGGCTTGCTTGTAAGGCAGAGAAATTACCGTATTCTTTGCTGTATAAGGCACTCTGGAGTATAAGACGCACCTTAGTTTTGGGGGAGGAAAATAAAAAGAAGATTGAGTCTGCCTCTGCCTACCAGCATCCATGGTATTCAGCTAACACATGGTAACAAAGGTCAGCCAATGAATAGGCAGATCAACTAAGTTAGCCAATTTGGACTCTGAAATTTGCCGTGTGAGCAACAAGGAGACAGGAAGAAGCCTGGCTTAGCCTAAAACTGAAAAGTGAAACTGATTGTGTTTTGCTTGTATTTACTGCTCCCTTGGAAAGTCTGCTTTTGGTAATGTATTGTATATTATTATTATTTTGAATCCTGCTGAATCAGCGGTTCAGAGGTTCGAATCCCTAGCGCCACGTAACGGAGTGAGCTCCCGTTACTTGTCCCAGCTTCTGCCAACCGAGCAGTTCGAAAGCACGTAAATAAATGCAAGTAGAAAAATAGGAGCCACCTTTGGTGGGANGGACTGCCACCAGCCACCCTGGGGCGGCATGCTGCCCTGGCCACTGAGTGAATCCGAAGTCACTCAGTGAGGACCTTGGCCGGGCAGCAGGAGGAGAGGGCACAAGCCTCCTGAAGGCAAGCCCAGCCGCGGAGGATTGTAAGTCGAAGGAGCGCTCTGTCACTCCCCTCAGGGGTTGAGCGACGAACCGTGGCTTCCCAAACGCCACGGAGTGCCAGCGCTGTGGCCAGAGGATCGTGAGGAAGCCGAAGAAGAGTCAGTTTGGCTTAGTGGTTAAGGCATCAGGTTAGAAAGCATGAGAACATCTTACCACCATGAAAGCCAGCTGGGTGACTTTGAGCCAGTCACTCTTCCTTAGCCCAATCCACCTCACAGGGTTGTTGTTTTTTTGTGGGGAAAATAGGAAGGTGTGTTGCGGGATATAAACAAATACAAATAAATAAATGGAGCTGATGGCACAGTCAAGCTAAACATACAGCAACATGAATTTTAGTCAGATTATTTATTTATCTATTTGCCTCCTGGCAAAGAAAAGCATGAATAGTTGAAACTTCAGACACTCCCAATAACCCAGTGCAGAGATTGACAGAAGGGAAGAAATGGGGATATAGTGGAGAAAAGAGCAAGGACCTCACTCTTCTGGACATGAACCAAAAGGTGGACAGCAGAATCCAGAAAACTGCCCACAGGCTACTATGACTACTACAGTGTCCAGAATGTTTAGTCAGATGAACTTGAAGGGCGGGTTTAATCTGGAAAAGCTGGTATGTGCATCCAAGAAATTTGAGAGAACATTGTGAAGGCTTCCTTCCTTGAGAAGCGAAGAAGCAGAAGGGGATTGGCTTGTTTGCTGAAGTCTTAGGTTTCAGGACAAGAGTCCAGCGTTTTTTGGTGCACTCAACTGTGGTGCACAACTCAACAAAGTGGGGATTTTAGCAGCTCTTGCTGTTTGGTTACATTCGTCAGAGATTTTTCCCCCCCCATTGGCTTTTGAATCATTCTGTGTTTTTTTTCCTTCCTTCTCCCTTCCTCTATGTGTCTTTCAGATTTATAGGGTTTTTCTTCTGTCCTCAAACTTCTCAGACTCCAGAACCAATCCCTGGAGTAATTTATTTCCATTTTTGTCTGTCTCATATGGACAGTGTTTAGAATACAGAACAACTGAGTTGGATGGGATCTTGGAGGTTTTCCAGTCCAATCCCAAGCTCGATCAGGAAACCCTATGTCAGTGATGGTGAACTTTTTTAGCACCAAGTGCCCAAACCGGAAGGTGTGTGCATGTGCAAGGGCCAGAGCGCCGGAAATCGAAGACCAGTTGGCTGGTGCACATGGGCACAATGGCCAGGTGGTCTTTGGGTTTCCAGCACATGCATGTGTGCCGGACAGCTGGTCTTCATGGGTGCCTGAGCACTGGAAACCGGAAGACCAGCTGGCCGGTGCATGCATGCCCGTTTTCAAGCCGTTTTTTAGACCATTTTCAGGCTGTTTTCTGGCACCCCAGAGCTCACAAAGACCAGCTGGTGATGTGCGCGCCGGAAATCAGAACAGCAGCTGGCAACGGTGCGCATGCCCACAGAGAGGGCTCTGTGTGCCGCCCCTGGCATGCGTGTCATAGGTTCACCATCATGGCCCTATACCATTCCGCACAGCTGCTGTCCAATTTCTTCTTAAAAAGCTCCAGTGATGGAGCACCCACAACTTCCGAAGGCAAGATTGTTCTCATTGCCAGGAAATTTCTCCTTAATTCTATGCTGGATCTCTCTTTAATGAGCTCCCACCCATTACTTCTTCTCCTGCCCTCAGGTGCTTTGGTGGATAGATCAGCCCCCTCTTCTCTGTGACAGCTCCTCAAATATTGGAAGACTGCTACCATAATTAACATTTATAACGTTGTTCTTGTTTCCTAAGAGAAATCTCTATGATTTCCATATGACAGATATGGCTTACAGCCATTTTTGAACTCAGAAGCTGAAACCTAACTTAAATCTGAAGTGTCTCTGATTTGCAGAATAATCCGTCTGCTTTTTTGTCCTCTGGACCAGTAACGTTCGATAAACCTAGAGCTTTGGGTTGATTTACACCAGGGATATCAAACTCATGTCACCGTGGCGTCACATGACATATCAGCACTCCCCCCCTTTGCTAAACTGGGTGTGGGCGTGGCCAGCACATGACACTTCCGCCCCATGGCTGGGAGTTTGACAGCCACCATGGTTCAGATAATTTGGGTTTGTCTGCAATAATATGTGAGGCTGCTTTTGAAAGGTTCCTAGAGCCTACAGCTGGTGTAGAACAGTCTGCATGATGGCGGGGGAAATCAGTCTTTTACACCTGTGTTGTAGGTCCCCTGCATATTGCCTGTTGGGTTCAGCTATAATTCAATGGATTGGTCTTGACAGGAAAGATGTAATGCAGGGGTGTCAAACTCAAGACCTGTGGGCTGGATCCGGCCCATGGGGTGCTTAGATCTGGCCCTCAGGGCCACCAAGGAAACTGTGAAGGACCATCATGCGACCCTCCCAAGCTCCATTTTTAGTGGCTGAGGGTTGCAGGAGGCTGTCCCAGCCAAAAACTGAGATTGGGAGCCTGTTTTTGCTGGCAGAGTACTCGAGCCACCACAGGCCACCCTGGCATGAGTGATGTCAAGATGGCCACGCCCACTCTGGTCATGCCCTCTCCCCGCCTCCCCCGAGGTCAAATTCAACTCTGATGCAGCCCTCAATGAAATCGAGTTTGACACCCCTGATGTAATGTGTTGGGTGTAAGGAAGCATTTTTTTTGCTCCTATAAAATGGTCTTGATTCTTTTTCCCCAGAATGAATTCCAAGCTGAATTGGCAAATGCTGGGACCAAGCTCATAGTCGTTGACTTCTCCGCCACATGGTGTGGGCCGTGTAAAATGATCAAGCCTTTCTTCCATGTAAGTAACTTAGATTCTTTCAACATTTTGTTTAATAAAGCATGAGGAGAGCAGGATGTGGCAGATGGGGATTCCTTAGAAATCAAGGTTACGTGAAAGAGATGGGTAAGAATTCTTGAACCTAGAGGGGTTGAAATATTTATGTGCCTCTGCTCATGCTTATCTTGTGATATTTGTCCGTGCTTTCATGAAAAGCGGGTTGTTGTCTTTTCCAAACTGTCAGTAACAACAGCATTGATATATAGAAACAGTAGCATGTTTCAGTCAACAGAAAAAGTTTACTTTGTTTTGTTTCATTTGTCAGGCTCACATGCCATTCCAATCATAATTTTCCCTTAATTCGGATTAACATCATCATCATTGGAACCTGTACTATCATCTTAATGTTCTATTAAAGGCCTTTGGAATGATGCCAAAGATGCTGCAGTTGACCAAACCTGCTGGAAAACACTTCCTGGCCAATGTGTTCTGCACAGATTAAAACAATAGTATAGCAACAAAAGTTAAATCAGTAAAATATAATTTCCAGAGTAATGCCACAGCTTTATTAGGACCTGCTCAAAAGACCTAAAAGTGTATGCAAGTTTCAGATGTTTCAGTACTCTTCAAGTACTGAAAATGTTAACCATGTTAACAAATAATGGGGAAGGAACATTCTCTTACATTCTCTTACAATTAGACCACATCTTGCATTGTTACACTCTTGCGACAGAGTTATAATTAAATTATGGTACAAACCACAAACCGGAAGGCTGAATGCTTTTTCTTTCTCTATATGTGAGGCAGGCTTATACAAAATATGCATTTATGTGTTAACCCTAATATCTACAAGTTATCTAATTAGACATGCCTAATGATAAAAGTGACTGTGTTGGATCTGTAAATGAGAAGTGACAATACTTAATCTGTTATAATAGCTCATGTCTTAGGTAAAGACAACAAATCCAAATGCTGCATCAATCAACTTTTTCCAGTAAAGGCAACCAGATATAATTATTTTATTCTTTTAACCATGGTCAAAGAAGCCAATCTTACACTATATTGCCAAAAGTATTCGCTCACCTGCCTTTACTCGCATATGAACTTACTATAAGTGACATCCCATTCCTAATCCATAGGGTTTAATATGACGTGGGTCCACACTTTGCAGCTATAACAGCTTCAACTCTTCTGGGAAGGCTGTCCACAAGGTTTAGGAGTGTGTTTATGGGAATTGTTGACCATTCTTCCAG